GGTGCTCAGGGCGGGGCCCTCCCTGTGCTTGCAGGGACTGGGGACAAGAGCTGTAGGTGGGGTCGCATCTGGGGTGCCCAGGACAGTGCCCTCGCTGTGCCTGCAGGGACTGGGAACTCTGCAGGGGCAGAGAACCCGGCCAGGGGGAGTCATGTCTGGGGTGCCCAGGGCAGGGCCCTGGCTGTGCCTGCATGGCCATCACTGTGCCTGCAGGGGCCTGGGCAGGGGGCGGGGTCACATCTTGAGTGCCCAGGACAGGGCCATCGCCATGCCTGCAGGGGCTGAGAATCCGGCTGGTGGGGGGCGCGTCTGGAGTGCCTAGGGCGGGGCCCTCGCCATGACTGCAAAGGCTGGGGACCCAGGTGGAGGAAGGGCCTTGTAGTGCCTGAGATGCCCAGGGCAGGGCTCTTGCTTAGAATGCCTTCGCTGTGTCTGCGGGGCCCTCGCAGTAACTGCAGGGGCTGGGGACCTAGGTGGGGGGCGGGATCATGTCTGGGGTGCCCAGGGTGGGTTCCTTCCCATGCCTGCAGAGGCTTTGGACCCAGGCGGGGGAGGGGGCGGGGGAGCGCCTGGTGTGCCCAGTGCAGGGCTCTTGCCAGGCCTGCCCTCGCTGTGCTTGAGGGGCCCTCGCAATTCTTGCAGGGTCTGGAGAACCAGGTGGGGGGAGGGGGTCGCATCTGCGGTGCCCAGGGCTGGGCCGTCCCCGTGCTGGGGACCTGGGCTGGCGGGCAGGGTTGCATTTGGGGTGCCCAGGGCCAAGCCCTTGCTGTGCCTGCAGGGGCTTGGGACCTGGGCAGGGGGCAGGGTCGCATCTGGTGCCCAGGACGGGACCCTCACAGTGCCTGCAGGGCATGGGGCCCCGCGAGGGGGGCAGCAATCACGTCTGGGGTGCCCAGGATGATGCCCTCGCCAAGCCTGCAGGGGCTGGGGACCCGGGCAGGGTGTGGGGCCGCATCTGGGGTGCCCAGGGTGGGTCCCTCGCTGTGCCTGCAGGGGCTGGGGAAATGGGTGGGCGGGGCAGGGTCGCGTTTTGGGTGCCCAGGGCGGGGCCCTCACCGGGTCTGTGGGGCTGGGCCCGGGCAGGTGGTGGGGTTGCATCTGGGGTGCCCAGAACAGGGCCCTCACCATGCCTTCAGGGGCTGGGACCCAGGCGGGGCAGGTTTGTATCTTGGGTTCCCAGGGCAGGGCCCTTGCTGGGCCTGCGGGGCACTCACTGTGCCTGCAGTGGCTGGGGACACGGGTGGGCAGGGCAGGGACACGTCTTGGGTGCCCATGGAGGGGCCCTTGCTGGGCATGCAGGGGCTGGGGAGCTGGGCAGGGTGTGGGGTCGCATCTGGAGTGCCCAGGGTGCGGCCCTCGCCATGCCTGCAGGGGTTTGGGATCAGAGCAGGGGGCAGGATTGTGTCTGGGGTACACAGGGTGGGGCCCTAGCCATGTCTGCGGGGCCTTGGGCCCTGGGTAGGGTCACCTCTGCGGTGCCCAAGACGGGGCCACAGCATGCCTGCAGGGGCTGGTGACCCAGGCAGGGGGCTGGGTAGCAGTCTGGTGTGCCCAGGCGGGTCCCTTGCTGTGCCTGCAGTGGCTGGGGAAATGGGTGGGTGAGGCAGGGTCGCATCTTAGGTGCCCAGGATGGGCCTAAAGGGCCTAAAGGGGCTTGGGAGCCTGGAGGGGCACGGTGTCGTGTCTTGGTTGCCCAGGGCACTGCCCTTGCCATGCCTGCAGGGGCTTGGGACCCGGGCGGGGGGCGGTGCCTGGGGTGCCCAGAGCGGGGTCCTCACCGCAACTGCGGGGCCTGGGGCCCAGGGTGAAGGGCGGAGGGGTTGCACCTGGGGTACCCAGGGCGGGGCTCTTGACACACCTGCCCTCGATGTGCATGCGGGGCCCTTGCTGTGCCTGCAGGGGCTGGGGACCCAGACAAGCCAGGGGAAGGGGTCGCGTCTGGGGTGCCCAGAGCAGGGTTCTGGCCGTGCCTGCCCTTGCTGTGCCTGCGGGGCCCTCGCAATTCCTGCCGGGACTGGGGACCTAGGCAGGGGCGGGGTTGCATCAGGGGTGCCCAGGGTGGGGTCTCACCGAGCCTGCAGGGGCTTGGGACCAGGGTGGGGGACAAGGTAGCATCTGGGGGTGCCCAGGGCAGGGCCCTCGCAGTGCCTTCAGGGCATGGGGCCCCGGGAGTAGGGGGCAGCGGTCACATCTGAGGTGCCCAGGACGCCAGGGGCTGGGGACCCGAGCAGGGTGTGGGGTCCATCTGGGGTGCCCAGGGTGGGTCCCTCGCTGTGCCTGCAGGGCCTGGGGAAATGGGCAGATGGGGCAGGGTCATATCTTGGGTGCCCAGGGCAGGGCCCTCACTGGGTCTGTGTGGCTGGGGCCCCGGGCAGGTGGCAGGGTCTCGACTGGGGTGCCCAGGGAGGGGCCCTCACCCTGCCTGCAAGGGCTGGGGACCCGGGCAGGCGGGGCAGGATCACATTTGGGTGCCCAGGGCTGGGACTTTGCCGCAACTTCGGGGCCTAGGGCCCTGGGTAGAGGGGGGCGGGGTTGCTCCTGGGGTGGCCAGGGCAGGGCTCTTATCAAACCTGCCCTCGCTGTGCCTGCTGGGCCAACGCAGTTCATGCAGGGAATGGGGACCTAGGTGGGGGGCAGGGTCCCGTAGGACTGCCCAGGATGAGGCCCTTGCCATGCTTATAAGGGCTGGGGACCCAGGCATGGGGCCGGGTCTTGTCTGGGGTGTATGCCCAGCGCGGAGCCCTCGCTGCGCCTTCTTGCCTTGGGCCCCAGGCGGGGGGGTGCGGGGTCGTGTCTGGGGTGCCCAGGGCAGGGTCCTCGCCATGTCTGCAGGGGCTAGGGACCCGGTCTGGGAATGGGGTCACATCTGGGGTGCCCAGGACAGGACCCTCACCCTGCCTTCAGGGGCTGGGGACCCGGGCGGGATGGGGGTCGTGTCTGGGGTGCCCAGGGTGGAACCCTCGCTGTTCCTGCAGGACTCTTGCCTTGCCTGCAGTGCTGGGGACCCTGGCGGGAGGCGGGGTCGCATCTGGGGTGCCCAGGAAGGATCCCTCGCTGTGCCTGAAGGGGCTGGGGAAAAAGGCAGGGCAGGGTCACATCTTGGGTTCCCAGGGTGGGGCCCTTGCCGGGCCTGCGGGGCCCTCCCTGTTCCTGCAGTGGCTGGGAACATGGGTTGGTGGGGAAGGGTTGCATTTTGGTTGCCCAGGGCGGGGCCCTTGCCATGCCTACAGGGGCTTGGTATCAGGGTGGGGGGTTAGATCACATTTGGGGTGCACAGGGCGGGGCACTAGCCGCGTCTGCGGGACCTTGGACCTCGGGTGGGGTCATGTCTGGGGTGCTCAGGATGGGGCCCTCGCCATGACTGCAGGGGCTAGGGACCCAGGCAGGGGGCTGGGTCAGGTCTGGGGTGCCCAGGGCGGATCCCTCATGATGCCTGGGGTTCCTCGCCATGCTTGTAGGTGCAGGGACCTGGGCACGGGGCGGGTTCCATATGGGGTGCCCAGGGAGGGCTCTCACAGTGCCTGCAGGGGCTGTGGATCCCGGCGGGGTCACGTCTGAGGTGCGGGGCCCAAGCTGTGCCTTAGGGGCTAGGGACCTGAGGGGGGGGGGCGGGGACCCATCTGGGGTGCCCAAGGAGGGCTCTTGCTGTGCCTGCACGGGCTGGGGATCTGGGTGGGGGGGCGTGGTCATGTCTGGAATGCCCAGGGCGCATCCCTCGCTGTGCCTGAGGGTCCCTCAGCATGCCTGTAGGGCCTGGGGACCTGGGTAGGAAGCGGGGTCCCGTCTAGGGTGGCCAGGGTGGTGTTCTCGCCATTGTTTCAGGGGCTTGGGACCCGGGTGGTGGGGAGGTAGCGTCTGGGGTGACCAGTATTGGGCTTTCAGCCTGCCTGTAGGGGTTAGGACCCGGATAGGAGGTGGGGTCCCATCTGTCGTGGCCAAGGTGGGGCTGTTGCCATTCCTGCAGGGGCATGGCACTCGGGCGGGGGAGGTAGCGAGTGTCTGGGGGGCCCAGGGAGGGGCTCTTGCATGCCTGCAGGGGCTGGAGATCCGGGCAGGGGGGAAGTAGCATCTGGAATGCCCAGCGTGGGGCCCTCATTGTACCTGAGAGTCCTGGCCAAGCCTGTAGGGGCTGGGGTCCTGGGAACGGGGCGGGGTTGCGTCTGGGTGCCCACAGTGGGGCCTTCGCCCTGCCTACAGGTGTGGGGACCCGGGTAGGAGGCGGGGTCCCATTAGGGGTGGCCAGGGTGGGGTCTCTGCATTCCTGCAGGGACTTGGGACCCAGGCGAGTGGTGGTCGAGTCTGGGGTACTCGGGACGGGTTTTGCCTTGCCTGCAGGGTGGGGGATCCGGACGGGGGACATGGTTGCGTGTGAGGTGCCCAGGGCGGGGCTCTCACAGTGCCTGAGCATGCCTTGCTGTGCCTATAGGGGCTGGGACCTCAGGGGGGTGCGTGGTCGCATCTTGGGTGCCCAGGGCGGGGACCCAGCTGCTCCCGCCCTTGCTATACCCGTGGGGCCCTCGCCCTGCCTCCTGCAGCGGTGGCCCGGGCAGGTGGTAGGGTCACCTCCGGGGTGCCCAGGGCGGGGCTCTCCCTGTACCTGTAGGGGCTGGAATTGGATCAGGGGCGGGGTCGGGTCTGGGTTGCTCAGGGTGGTGGGGCCCTTGCTGCAACTGCCCTCATTGTGCCTGCGGAGCCCTCCCACTGCCTGCAGGGGTGGAGAATGGGGTAGTGTGTGGGTGCCCACTGAGGTACCCAGAGCGGGAATTTCGCTGTGCCTGCAGGGGCTGGGATGGAGGTAGAGGGCGTGGTCACATCTGGTCGCATCTGGGTTGCTCAGGACAGGGCCCTGGCTGTGGCTGCAGGCCCTCCTGTGCTGCAAAGGCTGTAGCTCCAGGAGGCGGACACGGCCGCGTCTGGGGTGCCAGCAGGAGCTTGGGAACCAGGCAGGTGGTGAGCCCCACTTGGTGCCCACTACAGGGCTCTTACAGTGCTTGCGAAGCCTAAACCCCAGGCACAGGGAGCCGGGTTGCATCTGGGTTGCCCAGGGTGGGGTCCTCGCCCTGCCTGCCGAAGCTGGGGAGCCGGGCAAGGGACAGGGTCACGCCTAGGGTGCCCGGGGCAGGGCCCTCGCTTTGCCGCAGGGACTGGGGCCCCGGGCAGGCGGGGCGGGGGTCGCGTCTTGGGTTCCCAAGGTGGGGCCCTCTCTGTGCCTTAGGGGCTGGGGACCCGGGCGGATGGGGCGGGGTCCGTCTAGGGTGCCCAGGGAGGGCCCCCGCTGTGTCTGCAGGGGCTGGGGATCTGGGCAGGGACGTGGTCGCGTATGGAATGCCCAGGGAGTGTCCCTCCTGTGCCTGAGGGTCCTCACCATGCCTGTTGGGGCTGGGGTCCTGGGAACGGGACGGGGTCGCCTCTGGGGTGCCCAGGGTGGGGCTCTCGCCATTCCTGCAGGGGCGTGGGAACTGGGCGGGGGGTGGGGGGCCGAGGCCGCGTCTGGGTTGTCCAGAGCGGGGCTCTCGCTGTGCCTGCAGGGGCTGGGGATCCAGGCCGTGGGGCGGTAGTGTCTGGGGTGTCCAGGGCGGGGACCGAGTGGGGGAGGAGGCGTCTGGGGTGCCCATAGTGGGGCTCTCACTGTGCCACAGGGGCTGGGGACCTTGGCGGCCGAGTTGGGGTCACGTCTTGGGTGCCCAGGGCCAGGACCCTGCTGCGCCCGCTCTTGCTTTGCCTGCGGGACCCTCGCCCTGCCTGCAGCTGTGGGGGCCCAGGCAGGGCACGGGGTCACGTCTGGGGTGCCCAGGGCAGGCCTCTCGGCCAGCATGCTGGGGCTTGGGATCCAGGTGGGTGCTGGGGCGGAGTTTAGCGTGTCCAGGGTGGAGCTCTCGCCATTCCCGCAGGGGCGTGGGAACTGGGCGGGGGGTGGGGGGCGAGGCCGCGTCTGGGTTGCCCAGGGCGGGGCTCTCGCTGTGCCTGCAGGGTCTGGGGATCCGGGCGGTGGGGCGGTAGTGTCTGGGGTGTCCAGGGCAGGGCTCTCGCAGTGCCTGCAGAGGCTTGGGACCGAGTGGGGGGAGGAGGCATCTGAGGTGCCCGTGGTGGGGCTCTCGCAGTGCCGCAGGGGCTGGTACCCGGACAGACAGGGCGGGGTCCCATCTGGGGTGCCCAGGGAGGGCTCTCACTGTGCCTGCAGGGGCTGGGGACCCGGATGGGGTCGCGTCTTGGGTGGCCAGGGCGGGGCTCTCGCCCTGTCTGCAGGGGCTTGGGACCCAGGCAGGGGTGTGTTGCTCCTGGGGTGCCCAGGGTGGAGCTCTGCCATGCCTGCAGGGGCCAGGAACTGGGCGGGGGGCGTGGTCGCGTCTGGCGTGCCCCGTGAGGGTCCTCGCCATGCCTGTAGGGGCTGGGGTCCTGGGCAGGGGGCGGGGTCGCCTCTGGGGTGCCCAGTGTTGGGCCTTCACCCTGCCTGTAAGGGTCGGACCCAGGTAGGAGGCGGGGTCCCATCTGGCGTGGCCAGGGCTGGGCTGTCGCCATTGCTGCAGGGGCCGGGATTCGGGCGGGGGGAGGTAGCATCTGGGGTGCCCAGGGCGGAGCTCTCGCCATGCCTGCAGGGTCCGGGATCTGGGCGGAGGGCATGGCCGCGTCCTGCGTGCCCAGGAGGGCCCTCGCTGTGCCTGAGGGTCCTCGCCATGCCTGTAGGGGCTAGGGTCCTGGGCAGGGGGCGGGGTCACCTCTGGGGTGCCCAGTTTTGGGCCTTCACCCTGCCTGTAGGGGTCGGGACCCGGGTAGGAGGCGGGGTCCCATCTGGCGTGGCCAGGGCTGGGCTGTCGCCATTCCTGCAGGGGCTGGGATCCGGGCAGGGGGAGGTAGCATCTGGGGTGCCCAGGGCGGGGCTCTCGCAGTGCCTGAGAGTCCTGGCCATGCCTGTAGGGGCTGGGGTCCAGGGCAGGGGGCGGGGTTGTGTCTGGGTGCCCAGAGCGGGGCCTTTGCCCTGCCTGCAGGTGTGGGGACCCAGGTAGGAGGCGGGGTCCCTTCAGGGGTGGCCAGGGCGGGGCTCTCGCCATTCCTGCAGGGACTTGGGACCCAGGTGAGTGGTGGTCGAGTCTGGGGTGCTCAGGACGGGTTTCGCCTTTGCCTGCAGGGGTGGGGAATCCGGCGGGGGACATGGTCGCGTGTGAGGTGCCTAGGGCGGACCCTCCCAGTGCCTGAGCGTCCCTTGCTGTGCCTGCCGGGCTGGGGACCCGGGCAGATGACGGGGTCCCTACTGTGGTGTCCATTGCAGGGCACTTAGAGGGCTTGCGAGGCCTGGGGCCCCAGGCGTGGGGGAGCCGGGTTGCATCTGGGGTGCCCAGGGTGTGGCCCTCACCATGCTTGCAGGGGCTTTTGACCCGGGGGGTAGGTGGGCCCTTGCTGCAACTGCACTCACTGTGCCTGCGGGGCCCTCCCACTGCCTGCAGTTGTGGACACCCGGGTAGGGTGCGGGTCGCCTCTGGGTTGCCCAGAGCAGGAATCTCGCGGTGCCTGCAGGGGCTGGGATGCGGGTGGGGAGCGTGGTTGCATCTGGGTTGCCCAGGGCGGGGCCCTCGCTGTGGCTGCGGGCCCTCGCTGTGCTGCAGGGGCTGGGGCCCCCGGCGGGGGCATGGCCTCGTCTGGGATGCCAGCAGGGTCTTGGGACCCGGGCAGGTGGTGGGGTTCCAACTGTGGTGGCCATTGCAGGGCACTTAGAGGGCTTGCGAGGCCTGGGGCCCCAGGCACGGGGGAGCCGGGTTGCATCTGGGGTGCCCAGGGTGGGGCCCTCGCCCTGCCTGCCGAAGCTGGGGAGCTGGGCAAGGGGCAGGGTCGTGCCTAGGGTGCCCGGGGCAGGGCCCTCGCTTTGCCGCAGGGACTGGGGCCCCAGGCAGGCGGGGCGGGGTCGCGTCTTGGGTTCCCAAGGTGGGGCCCTCTCTGTGCCTTAGGGGCTGGGGACCTGGGCGGATGGGGCGGGGTCCCGTCTGGGGTACCTAGGGAGGGCCCCCGCTGTGCCTGCAGGGGCTGGGGATCTGGACAGGGGGCGTGGTACGTATAGCATGCCCAGGGAGTGTCCCTCCTGTGCCTGAGGGTCCTCACCATGCCTGTTGGGGCTGGGGTCCTGGGAACGGGGCGGGGTCGCCTCTGGGTTGCCCAGAGCGGGAATCTCGTGGTGCCTGCAGGGGCTGGGATGCGGGTGGGGAGCGTGGTTGCATCTGGGTTGCCCAGGGCGGGGCCCTCGCTGTGGCTGCAGGCCCTCGCTGTGCTGCAGGGGCTGGGGCCCCCGGCAGGGGCATGGGTTCGTCTGGGATGCCAGCAGGGGCTTGGGAACCGGGCAGGTGGCGGGGTCCCCACTGTGGTGGCCATTGCAGGGCACTTAGAGGGCTTGCGAGGCCTGGGGCCCCAGGCACGGGGGAGCCGGGTTGCATCTGGGGTGCCCAGGGTGGGGCCCTCGCCCTGCCTGCCGAAGCTGGGGAGCCGGGCAAGGGGCAGGGTCGCGCCTAGGGTGCCCAGGACAGGGCCCTGGCCTTGACTTAGTTGGGGAGCTGGTAAAGCAGTTGAACCCAACTAACTGAATGTTGATGTTGTAAAATATGGCATAAGGTGGCTGGCGCCATGGCTCACTATGTTAATCCTCTGCCTTTCGACGCTGGCACACCGGGTTCTAGTCCCGGTCGGGGCTCTGGATTTTGTCCCGGTTGCCCCTCTTCCAGGCCAGCTCTCTGCTATGGCCCGGGAGTGTAGTGGAGGATGACCCAAGTCCTTGGGCCCTGCACCCCATGGGAGACCAGGAGAAACACCTGGCTCCTGCCATCAGATCAGCGCGGTGCGCGGGCCGCAGCGCGCTGGCCGCGGGGCCATTGGAGGGTGAACCAACTGCAAAGGAAGACCTTTTCTCTCTCTCTCTTTCTCACTGTCCACTCTGCCTGTCAAAAAAAAAAATATGGTATAAGGTATTACCTTGATATCTTGCTGGTGAAAAAAGAGAATACATTTTAAAATTCTAGATTTTTGTTTTACACTTAGAAATGAGAAACAATGACAGCCGAGGCAACTAGAAAAGTTTTAATAATGATTGCATTCTTTTTAAATGAAATTCCCATTAATTGTGTAATCTTAAACCTGAGAGGTGAAGGGAAGCTCTCCTCTGGCCCCAAAGCTGCCTCAGACTTTCCTCTCCACTCCCTTCCTGCCTCACTTCCTTCCCGCTCACACAGGCTCCACAGCAGCCTCGAGGTCTTGCAGCATGATGTCATAGAAACTGCTTTGTACTGGTGAGAAATAAACACAATTCTGCTGTGAGAAGACGACACTCAGGAGGAGGGAATGTGTGGAGCCCTTTGGAATTGTAGTGCTCTGCGTGAGGAACGGGGTGTGTGTCCCTGGTGGTGGGTGGGTGCAGCAAGTATCTCTGGACCTCTCCCGAGCAGCCGTTCCTCCTCTCCCTTGTGTGGTTGGCTGGACAGTTGAAGGGCGGGGACTGCTGCCTCGGTGTCACTGTTGGAGCTGACTGAAAGACCCCATGGCTGAGCCCCCCGGGGGTGTGTTGATGGCATCATTTGAGGTGTGAGCCTGGGACTTGATGGACGTTTGGGTGTCATGCAGCCGAGGAGAATGCGCCGATTTCCCTGTCTCCTGCTGCCAGAGCCATGAAATCAAGGCTGCTTTGCACCAAGTGCCGGGTGAGCCGTCTTCTCATCCCCATCAGACACAGACGTTTCTGTTGAGGAGAAGCATCTGCTCTTCATGTCAGTTCCGCACCTGGACCAGGCCTCAGCCCTGTTTTCTTCAGGACCTCTCAGGTTGATGGGTGAGGAGACCCGTGGGAGGAGGACTTAGAAGTCCGGAGGCTGAGTGCCTTCTAGTTGTGCACAGAAACACCCTGTGCGTGTCTTCCTTAATTGCAGAGTGTTCCTGATGTCATGGGCACGTAGGAACCAGAGAGGAACCTCTGCCCTGGACCTCTCTCTGCTGGATCTCAGCCGCCTCATGTTTCTTGGTGCTGTTTTTTTTTTTTTTCTTTAAGAGTTTATTCAAGTCAGAGGTATCTGCATTTATAGCTTCTTCCTAATAATTCTTTCCTCTCCTGATGGAGTTTCATTTCTCCTGTGTTTCAGGAGATGCCTGGGGGGGGGGGTGTCCCCCATTGGATTCTAGTCTGAGGGAGTCTTCCATGGTGAGTCACGTGCTGCTTTGCTCATTAGAAGAATCCTAAGTAAGATGGGAAAAGACTCTTTTTGTTGGAGAGAGAAAATGAAAACCAGCTTTTCTGAGGCCAGAGGGGCTCATGTGGTAATAAATGATGAATTCATCCTTTTTTTCTGCCATCCCTCCCAGTGGCAGTTGATCTCATGACAGCTGTTTCCAGCTGTACTCTGGATTTTGCGCAGGCCCCTTGGGATGGCTGTAATGACTCACACAGCTGGGCTTTTTCCACAACGGGCTGAACCTGGCTGCTCGAGGAGCAGGGGCTGGAGGCAGGGAAGGTGACTCTGGTGGCTGGAGGAGATTTCCTTGTTGGGATCGCTGTCCCTGCAGGGCCCTCCTGTCCACAGAGATCCTGGGAGATAACGTCTGAGGCAGGGTAGAGAATGTGTTCATAGAGAACGTGTGTTGGAGAAAG